GGGCGAGGGGCGCCCGAGGAGCTCCAGGTCGCGGCTTAGGCAGCCCGATCTCGCGGGCCGGCCGAGCCCGGAGGTAGAGCCGCCACCGCCGCCGCCCTCGGCCCAGCCTGTGGCGGGCGGCGGCGTCTCCCCACGGACCCCTCCCTCCTGTCTACCCTCCCTTCCCCCGGTCCCGAGCGCCTGGACCCCTCCTCCGGGGGGCGTCCCCCTCCGTTCCGGCGTCCTCCTATCCTCTCCCCGCTTAACCCCCCTCATTTCCCCCAACCGGCGACTCACCCCCCCCCCCCCCCCCGCCCCGCCTGGCGTTCCCCCTTCCTCCCTTCTCCCCACCAGCGTTCCTCAGCCCTCCCCCCGCGTCTCCCCATCCCGTCCCCGGGGTTCCCCCTCCTGCGTCTCTCCCCCCAATCCCCCAACCCACCCAGGGCGCCTCTCCTCCAAGAACGTGTCCCCTTTCCCCTGCTGGGCTCCGCTGGGGGGTTGTCCCGGGTGCGCCCTGTGGTTTGCGCTCCAGCGTTCCAGAGCCTCCCGGAGGTCTCTCTTCTAGTGCCCGTTGCTTGCACCCTTGGATGTACTTGACTCTACAGACATGCAGTTTGTCCCTAGCTTACTAAGTAGGAAACGTTTGCAGTTAGGTCTGAGGCAAGTCAAGGCTTATCAACGTTTAAAACAAATTCTACCTTGGACCTTTTCAGAAGGTGACAGTTTAGGGGCACCCGGCTGACTCAGTCGGGTGATCAGTCTTGATCTTGGGGTTGTGAGTTCAAGCCCCATGTTGAATGTAGAGATTATTAAAATTAAATCTCTAAACAAACAAAAAGCACCATAAAGATATTTGCCCTTCCAAGCCTTGGGGATATTAGGAATTGGCACAGAACCCTGGGACTTAACTTCAGGCGTCTGAGAAAGGTCTATAGTTGGGGAAGGTGGACTTGGCTGGGCTTGGTGCCCGTGTTCTGTTTTTTTCCATGGGATGTGCCTCCCAAGTTGATGTGTGCTCTAGCGTTTCCCCTCAAAACAGTTACCTAAATCTTTGCCTATCCCCTTTGTTCATCACAAGCCTGTAATAGTTTTCTTCTTTCTTTTGGCAGAGGAGTGGCGGAAGTAAACAACTCCGTTTTGGGTGTTGAGTAGACTGTCAATCAAGAATTAGTGAAGCCAGGTTTCTGCAAACAACTCAGAACTTGTGGCTGTGCTTGGGTGAAATAGAGCTTTAGAGGTGGGATGAGAGGGGACCGCTGAGGTGATGGGGTCAGTGCCTAGGCCTCCTGGCCCCACCTCAGCTTGTACCTAATCTGGGACATCCCTGGGGGTGGCAGGCTGTCGAGGTTCTAAGAACAGTTCAGTATTTGGAATTCTAGTTGTTAGAAAGCTTTTCTGTGTTGAGTAGAAATTATTTTCATCTAATGTGTTCCACGGATCCAGCTTTTATCAGCTCCAGGAATAGTATATACATGGCAGCCTTTCAAGTATTTGAAGAAAATCCCTCTATATGTATTCCTAGCAAGTGTTCTAGTTTTTAAGATAAGTGTTTCTTTCATTATTCTGCCAGCAGGAGGTGTGGTTTGGTTCTGTTTTCTTTTAACCAATGTGGTTGGACCAGCCCCTGTGGTTATTATGATTGCAAGACACCTTTCAGCAAAAACCATCAGGAAACTGAAAAAAATAAAGGTTTATTACTTACAGAACCTGGAAATTTTATAGCATACCTGGGGCCACACAGTGAGATGGGGAAGAGAGAGCTCTAGGGAGCACAGGCCTGGGTTTCTGCTTGTATTGGGGTTGAGTGTGGGAGCCTAGGGCTTCTCAGGCTTGCTCTTTATTGGGGAATATAAAACAAAAGAGGGAATGTAAACCATGGGAAGAGAAAAGACAAGTGGCCCTAAAGGTCTGTTAGGGAAATCAACTAAGATCTGATCTCAAACAAAGGCCTGGTTCTTCATGGAGTTGAGTGGCAGGAGGCAAAGTGTATATTCCTCACCAATCAAAACTTAAGTCAGGCCCTTGCATTACAAAAAAGACAAACGTTTCAGAGCTTACGCCACAGGGTCCTTTCCCCCAGCTCTTTTTCCACATAAAATTACCTTGTCCACATTTCCATTAAGAAGTGATATTCAGGTTGGAATATGTCCCTCCATGTGTAGTCTGACAAACCCAGTGTATATTGGAACTGCACACCGCCATTATCGTGGCCTCAGGCTGTGCTGACCCAGCTATGGCCTCCTTGGCTGTCCGTCATGAGACCCTCCCACACCTGTTGCTGCTTAGCTGTCTTCCTCACTGTGCTCTGGCAGTTGGTTTTGGAGCATTATGAGACTAAGGAGGTCCTGTTGGCGTTACCCCAGAGTCGTGACCTATATTGGGGATTGCAAAGTATAATCAAGTACAGCATCCAGAAATGATTTCTCATTACTTTAAACAATTGGATTTGACTAGATTATAGGTCCATATTTGGTTTGGCAAGGGTATCTTTGAATCTGTTGTTGGTGTTTTTGGGTGGTCTTACGACCAGTCACAGGGGTGGTCAGGAATAAGCAGTGATTGTATCCACAGTGAGGGAGTGGTAGATGACCAGGCAAAGTTAATATTCTCAGACCCTGTAGATGGTCACACGCATCCTACCAGCGGCAACAGGGGGTTACTGCATAGTTATGTAGCCTGTCATTTGGGGCAAAGATTACCAACATGTTGTGTTAAAGAATGTTTTCCCTTTGAGAATTTGAGGACATAAGCCTTTGGCTAGACAGTCCTGGGTTTGAATTCTAGCCTTCTCTTCATGCACTGGTGTGTGATCATGAGCAAAATAGCTGCTCAGTCCCAATTTGCCTCGGTATGTTGTGAAGTTAACATGAACTCCTGTGACTGGCGGGGGTGGTGCCTGTAAAGATTGTAGCTCTTTTTACTAAAATGCTAGCTTTTGTATATGAATAAACTTTCAGAGTGAGGTGAAGTTGGAAATAAGTGATAGATTACATAGTAGAAAATAAAATGTGTCCAATATCTAGTTAGTGTTTGCTTTCTGAAGATAGAATGATGGTATTGAGCTAGAATGGTAGAATATTAGGAACAGAATTAGATCCACCGTGAAAGATGCGTGGTTTCCAGGACTTTTCCTAAATAGACCTTTAGGCAGCAAACGCAACTCCACTTTTAAGCAGTGACCTAAATTTTAAGATGACTGTCCTAGACTTGGGATGTAGACTGCAGCCTCAGAACTAAGTGGCTTATCGAAGATTAAACTTGACCTCATTAGCACTTTATCCAATCGGCTAAGTTCACTGACTGTGGACCATAACCTTACAAGGGCTCCAAAACATCTTGAAATGGCGTGAAAAGCTAGTAATTGGACCATCCTGGTGATTTGGAAAGTATAATATTCAGCTCTAAAATCTTGATGATGAAGATGAACTGTTCCAACTGTGAAATGTTACAGCATTTATACTAAGCCCTATGTTTTACATATTTTGTGTATTTGTTGTGAGAAGCTGAAGATTTATCATGTGTTCATTTATTTTTATTCCTGGGAAAACCTCTCCCACCACAATTGCCAGTAGTGTGCACGGGATATGTGTATGGACTCTCTTCCCTCAGTATTTATGCTTCTCGTTCTGCTCTTAGAAATCCAGAGGATTGTGAGGGGGAAAGCAAGGGTAAACTTTGTAATAATAAATTATAGTATGTTATTATGGAAGTTGTCCTGAATCAGAAAATGTATCAGTCTTTGTGAAGTCTGGTGTTTTCTGTTTTTTCCCAACAATTTACATCAGATGTTTTGTAAAACATTACCATTTTATATGAAGTAAAATCATTCTTTCGGAAAGAGTTACATGGGGTACGTATAAAATTGGAGAAGATATTTTTATGGTCATGAAGATGAGGTCCATGTGAATTAGATGGAGGCACATTGTATGTTAGCAGGTGGCTCAGGAGGGTTCACACTGTTGCTTTTTCTTCTTGAAAGCAGTTGGGAAGAAGGTAAGCAATGTACCTTTTATTGTTAAAGAGGTAGAAAGGTTGTGTAACATATACTTCCAAAGGGGGTGTAGGAGTTCTTGGAGCAGCTGTAGCCTGAAAACAGATTTTGTATTTGTTATAATAAAATGTCCTATCGTGTAAGAGTTTTGTTAGTGGTATTTTTTTTTTTTTAAGATTTTATTTATTTATTAGAGAGAGAGAGAGAATGAGAGATAGAGAGCACGAGAGGGAAGAGGGTCAGAGGGAGAAGCAGACTCCCGGCTGAGCAGGGAGCCCGATGTGGGACTCGATCCTGGGACTCCAGGATCATGACCCGAGCCGAAGGCAGTCGCTCAACCAACTGAGCCACCCAGGCGCCCTTTGTTAGTGGTATTTTTGCCTGAAATTTGTACATCCGAATATCCAAATGAACAGATTGAATGGATTCCTTGACCCGATGTGTATGTGGGGGTGTAGAGTTGTTGGGTAAAATTTAGGACACCAGTTAATTTTGAATTTCAAATAAACAATAACTTTATAGTATTTGTTGTTTATCTTTGATTTTTTTGCTTTTAAAGATTTATTTATCAAACGTGATCTGTAGCACTTGAAATATTCAAAGAGAAGTTGATATTTGTGTGATTTTCTAGACATATCTGTATTCTTTTTATGCTTATATCCATTGACTTTGCCATATGTGAATATATCCCTGTTAAGGCAGATAATTTTAATCCTAAATATCTGATTTTGTAGATTGACGACTTAAAGTAAAATACTGAGTTCCTACTTTAATGATGTTTTCAGTTGTCAAATACACATTAGGTACCTCAAGTTCATTTGAATTCATCTGATATTGTAAATTACAAACTCCTGGGTGGATATAATGGAATTTCATATGTAACTGTTTTTTTTTTTTCCTTCTGAATTTAGCGGGGGTGGGGTGGGGTAGGTGGGTGCTGACCAAATATATTCCATCTGTGGTATTTTCAGAATTCAGAAATTGAAATTGGCATGTTATTAGAACTTTAACTCTTGTGCTCTTACCTTTAATGTAAATAGCTCTTTAAAAACATTTTTAATTGCAGTGTTGGCTAAGTGTGATCTTGAAGATGGGAGGTGCTGTGAGTGCTGGTGAAGACAATGATGAGCTAATAGACAATTTGAAAGAAGCACAGTACATCCGGACTGAGCTGGTCGAGCAGGCTTTCCGAGCTATTGATCGTGCAGATTATTATCTTGAAGAATTTAAAGAAAATGCTTATAAAGACCTGGCTTGGAAGCATGGCAACATCCACCTCTCGGCTCCGTGCATCTACTCGGAAGTGATGGAGGCCCTGGACCTGCAGCCGGGGCTCTCCTTCTTGAACCTGGGCAGTGGCACTGGCTACCTCAGCTCCATGGTGGGGCTCATTCTAGGTAAGTCTGGACAGAGTGGGGCAGAGCACCATCTGTGTCATGGTGCAGGAGAAGAGAGTCTGCTGGCAGTGTTGTCTGATTGCCTTCTGAGCAGTTGTCTGCTGTGGTTTATACATAGTCATTGGGTGGGCTGGTGAAGGGAGGGCTCCAAGTTTTCTGGAGGGACCCCTTCTGTTCCCTACCCCCTCCCACCAGTACCTCCACTGTCTGTTCTGCACACCCTCCTTCTGGATAACAGAGGACCAAGAGGATTGTGTAAATCGGAGCCTTACAGTGATTTCTTGTTTAATACGATCACCCGGCCTGCTTTGTCACTCTGTCTATAAACTGAGACTAAGTTTACAGTTTCCTGGAAGTTAAAGTTCTTCCAAGCAGTTTTGGTTTGTTTTGTTTTAATGCTCAAAGAGTTAATGCCTGTAAATTGTTCTTTGTAAATAAATTCCAGGGATGGGAAGGATTTCACAGGTTTTGTCTCTTTTCCCAAATAAGTTGTGAGACTACACGTGGGGATTGGCATTTTTGTTATTGAAACAACAGTATCAGATAATTGAGGGTTTAGGTGTCTGTTTTTACTCTGAGGTAGAACGATTTTGCCAGAGGAGTAACAGGGGCTGACCTGTCCTTTTAAAGATTTCTCTGAAGAGGAAGTAGGGCTGGGGCTGCTGTAGCAATCTGTGAGGGCGGGTGGCATCCAGACTACAGGTGCATCACAACATTGTTTCTTTGTGGTTGTTACAGAAAATCTTAGCAGTGACAGTTGATTTTTGTGGGTATGGAATGAAATTTTTGTTCTTTATAAGTTCATAGACTTCTGAATTTGGTGAAGTTTTGAGACTGATCATTTAACTTAGGCTATAGATTGCTATCCTCAGATTTTTAGGTTTGTTTTTTAAAGCTAAATGCTTTTTGAACTTAATTTGTTTCGGATTAAGACTTTGTGAAGAGCCCAGGTGATGTATCATTCTGGAATTAGTGAAAGGTAATTCAGTGGAGCAGAGAAATTGGGGGAGCTAAGGATGAGATGCTCTTTGGCAGAGAGGGGGATAGGATATCAAATTGACTAGGTTAGAAATGCTTTTGAAAAGAACTGAGATGCTCAGTTCTTATAGTAAGCCTGAGGTGACCTGTTGCACTTGACATTCCCTAGAAATTATAAACAGCTTCTCTTCTCTGAGTCCCCTGTTTGCTGGGAATGTAATTAGACGGTGGGGTGGGGAGAGATCTAAAGGAAGGGAAGCTTTTTTGGGGGTTGCAGTGGATACTTTGTAGTGCTGTGATGTATTTGAAGGAGGTGAATGGAGAGTGTCCTTTCACGGATAGACATCTTGCATTTGCAGGGAGGAGGCTGCCCGCACTGGCTGATATCTCTGTCCGGATACCACGTGTTCTGGGCCTCCCTCTCCAGTTTACTCAGCCTTTAATGTTGTTTCATGCACATCACTCCAGAGCTAAAGACCATTTGGCTTCCCATTGCCTGCAGATGGGAGGTCTGGAGTCTTTCATCTGACTCTTCTTTAAACCCAACTGCCTTTCTGCCTGGCCCTGAACTTCATCCCTTTTCTGCTGCACTCCTGTGTAGTGCTGTGTGATTAGGGAGTGGAGTGCCCTCCTGCGGCGGCGGGGGGGGAAGCCAGCCTTGCGGTCTGGCTTCAGTGCCATGCCCTTGATGTCTCAGTCCTGACTCCTCCCGTGCCCTCCCTACCCTCTTAGTCATCTTTTTATTGGGGTGAGTCAAGGGCTATGTGTTATTACTGTATTTGGTGTTAAGCTTCTTGGGGGTAGGAACTATGTCCTGGATCCTTTATGAGAATTAACTGCTTAATAGGTTTTAATAAAGGGTGAGGGGCTAATGAAACTATGATGAGTGGGAAAGTAAAGGTTTTCTTGGTTTCTGGCACGTGCTGCTAGCCAGAGGGCAGTGGGATGGAAGTCAGTGACTTGGCAGAGGGTCTTGAAATTGGATAATTTGGATTTGATGTTGTAAATAGTGAAAATGTGACTTCTCAGGTAGGGTGTGTTTTAATGAGAATGTTTTAGCAGCAGCAGATGTTGAGAGAAGAGAGCCCCAGGTGAGCTGTCCAGGTCGAGGAGAGGGAAGCCTTGGCCTGGGATGGGTGTTGTGCTGTCGGGGGACCAGGTAAGCCCAAGTGCAAAATATCAAGATGTGGGTACACAGATGGTTGCTTATTTTCCAGTATTTCTGTTGGACTGTAGGGTTAAGTGCTGCACTGTGACTTCAGTATATCTGTCTAGTAAATAAAGTTTTACATGCCCTGTTGATTTTCACATAGAGACATTTAAAAAAAATGGCTGTGTAAGTTAACCTGTAGTAAATGAACAAGGTTGAGGTGTGGAGCTTGGTGAATTTTTATGTAAGTATTCACCTTCATGCAGGCACCACCCAGAACAAGGTACGGAGTAGAACCAGCACCCCAGAAGCTCTCATGCTGTCCCTCCCCCTCCAGAAAGGAGAGCACCCTTTTGTTCTCCGTCATCACAAATAAGTGTTGCCTGTTTTTGACCTTCATATAAATGAATTCCCACAGCAAAGAGAATCACCTAAGCTGTCTGTGTCAAGAGATCTCATCTAAAGGCAGCTTTATACAGAGGGAACACCTTTATTGTTAAGTGGGCTTGTAACTTTTCTCACAGCTTTATTTCCAATTACTGATAAATTTCCTTTGATATAAAAAATGTTTCATTGTGACTTGGTTATAATTTTATTTGTTTATTTTGTTTGGGAGAGAGAGAGCACATGCACGTGTGTGAGTGGGGGAAGGGGCAGGGGTAGAGGGAGAGAGAGAATCTGCAGCGGACTCCATGCTGAGCACAGAGCCCGACTTGGGGCTCAATCCCGTGACCCTGAGATTATGACCTGAGCTGAAATTAAGAGTCAGACATTCAACCGACTGAGCCACTCAGGCACCACTGTTAAAAACAGTTTTATTTTAATGAGGATCGAAAGCTATTTGTGTCCATGTCTGAGTGTTTGGGCGACCTTTTGGAACACAGTCCTGAGTCCAGTTTCATTTGGAAATAACATTTTTCTTTTTTAATTCATTAGTGAGATCTTGAATTCTTGGTTGCAGATCTTGGCCTTTTTTACATCTTTGAGAGCAGAGCGACCCAGGCTTTAGAAAGCTGTGACATGGGTAGTGTCAAAGAAACAAGTATTTACAATGTGGTGAGCATAGTCTACCCTGCATATTTAAAGATTAGCTTGGGTGATTTAGGTCCAATAATGTGATAAGACCTCAAAACCTTGTGAATTTCTTCATGTAACTATACATGCTGAATCTGGTGCATTGTAGTTGATAAAGAGTAAGAGTTCTTGCCCTAGTTCTAAAAGTTTTCTTATTCTGGAACATTTTAGGTCCTTTTGGTGTGAACCATGGGGTTGAACTCCATTCGGATGTAATAGAATATGCAAAGCAGAAGCTGGACTTCTTCATTAGAACCAGTGACAGCTTTGACAAGTAAGATCAAATACTAGCCTTGGGTTGCTGTGTGAAATATAATTTAAACTTTTGATTAGATGGGAGACATAAGTTTATTAGCGTTCATATACCAGCAAACATGATTCAACTTTGGGAGGAGAATCAGGGGTATGTGCATAGTTGTTCTAATTATTTTTTAAATATTTTGTGCTTCTGAGGGCTTTAGGTTTTTTAACTATATACCAGGCAAAGGTAATTTTTCACCAATATAATAAGAGAAGGAAATAGAATGTTCATTTTGCCCAGTTTTCATGTTTCCAACACAGATAACAATTTATCACCTAATGGTTTCTAAAACAGAATTGTTGCATTTGTCTTTAAATGGTATATATAACTACCTCTTGCCATTTTTTTAAAAAAAGATTTTATTTATTTATTTGACAGAGAGAGAGATAGCGAGAGCAGGAACACAGGCAGGGGGAGTGGGAGAGGGAGAAGCAGGCTCCCCACCAAGCAGGGAGCCCGATGCGGGGCTCGATCCCAGGACCCTGGGATCATGACCTGAGCTGAAGGCAGACGCTTAACTGACTGAGCCACCCAGGCGCCCCTCTCTTTCCATTTTTAAATAAGGCATTAAAGTTCTTTTAACATTTTTAGAAACACCAGATGTAGTTTTCTTTCATTTTACTTGTTTTTATATTTTATTTTTTTAAAGATTTATTTATTTGAGAGAGAGAGAGCGTGTGCATATGCACACAAGTGTGGGGGAGGGTCAGGGAGAGGGAGAGGGAATCTCAGGCGGACTCCACGCTGAGTGTGGAGCCTGATGAGAACTGGGCTCAATCTCACGACCCTGAGATCATGACCCGAGATGAAACCAAGAGTCGGACATTTAACCGACGGAACCACCCAGGTGCCCCTCATTTCACTTGGTTTTAGTAGATCTTTTTTTTTTTTTAGATAAATTTCATTTTTTTTTTTTTTTTTTTTTAAGATTTTATTTATTTATTTGAGAGAGAGAGAATGAGAGATAGAGAGAGCACGAGAGGGAAGAGGGTCAGAGGGAGAAGCAGACTCCCTGCTGAG